CAATTTAGTGTATTTTGTGGCGTTATACTGTACTGGGATTTGGCCCCACTTCAAAGGATGTTTTTCTTGAAAGGAGGAAAAGTGTGTTAAAAACTATGCTCTTTATAACCAAGAAGGCTATACGTCTGGGATGTAAGTCATAGATGGGCTATTTGTCTAGCTCAAAGTGTATAATCCAGTCATGTCCTGCCGATGCCGCGTTCGGTTTGAATACGTTGGGCGAGCTGTGGGTGAGCGTGCTCTCACCTGTGCCCTGCGCTCTCCGCAGGCGACCACGCCCGGCAGGACAGCATGGACTTCAGCAGGGAGTGGGAGGACCCTGCAGGCTGTCGCTGCGGGGACCGGCTGAAGCCCCTGGAGCGGCGGGCCGCCCGGCAGCACCAGCGCTGCCTGGCCCACTCCCTCGTAGGCACGCCCAACTACATCGCCCCCGAGGTGCTCCTGCGGACAGGTAACCGCCGCGCTCGCTCGCTCCACGCCGCGCGCCGCTCTCGTCTGCGCGAGGATTGTGCGAGCTCGGGAGCCCGCAATGCCACCGTCCCAAAAGGCTGGCCTCGCTGGTTTTGAGCTGTTGTCCGTCACGCTCCGTAAGACGAGAAGTGGGCGGAAGTGCTATTTTGTTCTTCTTCTGAGATGCGGCTGCTTTTTAGGTTACACCCAGCTCTGTGACTGGTGGAGCGTCGGCGTCATTCTGTACGAGATGTTGGTCGGACAGCCACCCTTCCTGGCGACAACACCGCTGGAGACGCAGCTTAAGGTAACCGAAGGCACGCTGCGACCGCCGCGACCTTCACAAAAGACAACGAGCAAAAAGACCTGTGTGTTGATGCATGGAATATGGGTACTGCCTTCCGAGGCTGAACCCAAGTGACCTCCCTTAAATATCTCTCGTAGGAAAGTTACACACACCAGGCCCCCGAGTCTGAAAAACATGGGCTAGTTTGGAAGTCCCGTTACTTTCTACGTAGCTTTGCCGATTCTCAGTCAGTCCCCAGTGGGATTCCCGTAACGGCTCGGAGCACGAATTAACGCACGGGTGGCGGCTGTTGACGGCGGCGTTCCGTTCTCCGCGCTCTCTCCTCAGGTGATCAGCTGGCAGACGGCCCTCCACGTCCCCCCGCAGGCCAAGCTGAGCCCGGAAGCCTCGGACCTCATCATCAAGCTGTGCAGGGGCCCCGAGGACCGGCTGGGGAAGAACGGGGCCGACGAGATCAAGGCGCAGCCCTTTTTCAGGACCATCGACTTCTCCACGGACCTGCGGCAGCAGCAGCGGCCGGCGCCGTACGTCCCCAAGATCGCGCACTGCACCGACACCTCCAATTTCGACCCCGTGGACCCCGACAAGCTCTGGAGCAGCGGCGGCGGCGCCGGCCGCGGCGGGGGCGACGACGACGACGCGGAGGGAAGGAACGACGACACCCTCAACGGCTGGTACAAGAACGGCAAGCACCCTGAGCACGCCTTCTACGAGTTCACCTTCCGCCGGTTCTTCGATGACAACGGGCACCCCTACAGCTATCCCAGGCCCATCGGGCCCGAGGAGTACAGCCGCGACGGCCTGGACTCGGAGCCCCAGCGGCGGGACGCGGGGGGGCAGGGGCGTGATCTGGTGTACGTGTAGCCTGGGGGCCCGCGCGGACGCTGACCCGCTCGTTGCCAGTGTCGTCCGGGCCGCTGCTGGGGTACGAACAAGACGGTAAAGCTTGGGTGTTTGTATGATAAAGGAGGGGGCGTTCAGCCCTCGATCGGCGGTGGGTTCGCGCTTGACCTTTGCCTTCACAGCAGGGAGCCAGGATTTGGCTGGGAGACGGAACGGACATTTCGGGAAAACGAACACAAGCATCAGCAGAGAAGCTCCGGGGAGGACGTTGAAAGTCCCGTGCAGACTGTACGTTAGGTGTATTTATTTTGGGGTGTACAGTGTGTTCCTTGAATGTGCTGCCTGAACAAAAAAACTTCAAAAACAAGTAGTGGAAAGGCAAAGTTAAAATCTCTTCCTGTATTCTGTATCTGAAACTATTTTAAAGAAATAACCCCCTTTCAGCCTTAATTTATTTAAATATTGTAAACTGGTGATGATAGTACCTTTCAAGATAAACACCATAACTTGTTTGTTGTTGTTTTTTTTCCTTTAGGAGCTGATTATTTTATTGATATTGTTTTAATTTATATTTTGAGAAGTCTCATGTCCAGTTGTAAAGGTGAACTGAATTTCTGTATGGAACAGAGGTGGAGGAAGCGAGACCCTTGAAACTGTGTAAATTGCAGTGCCTTTCGAAATTTGTTTTCTTTTACCAAATATAGTCAAAAATTAATCGGCTTAGCATTTTAATGGGAACACATTAGCTGGTTAATATTTAGTGGATTATACTAGTAATTTTGTGTATTTTTCTTCCTAATTTATACATAAAATGTATTTATAAATTATGCTGTATAAATTTGGTGTAAATACTTTTCTTACCTATCCTGTTAGTACCTTTGATGAGCTATCTTAGGGCAGGCCCTCTTGACTTTGTAAGCTTTTTGATCATGCACACGTGGTCTCTCAAGGTTTTCTGCTTCTTGAAAAGAGAAACGGACCACTTGTCGGGCTGATACCCTGAGCTCGGTGAGGAGTCGGGACAGGGTGTGTTTTTATTTTAAAAACAAAGTCCTTAATACAAGGGGCTGTACTTTTATGTACATAGAAAATGGTCTTAAACGCAACCAAAGTACAAGGATAAAATACAGACTCTCCTCTCACTGGTTGGCAATTTGCAAAGCATGCAGGTAGCGTTCTTTAGGATTCGAAGAAAGGCATGGAGAGCCTTTGCACATTAAAACGGGCCCACCATATCTCTTTGCATTATCATCCTTTTCTTTTTGTGAGTTTTTTTTTTAAGTTTTCATAGGTCTGAAAATAATTCTGGAGCATAAGCAATGACACTTCTTTTTTTTTTTTTTACAGTGATCACGTTACCATGATTTCACAATCATTTCTTTAGTAATATCTGTAATTTCTCTGATGGGGGGGGAAGGGGGGTTAAATAAAAAAATAAAACCAATTGTTTTAAAAAAAAAATTGTGTTTCCACATCACTGCTTTTTGCACAGGAAATTGAAATGTTACAAAAGGATCCATGACAGCAGTATCTAAATGTAAATTGATACTTATTGAGAATAATGCTAATTAATGAATATTGCAGAACAAGTAGCAAATCATCATGAAACAAGATGCTGAACAAAAAATGTGAAGAAAAATTAAATCATTGTAACGTCACTTCATGTGACTTTGGACCAGTGACATGTCTGCCAGCATCTGGAATACTATAGGAGAAGTGTGGCACCATTCTTCCTTGAGAAAGCTGGTCGCCTCACGGTGTTTGATGAAAGTGGCAAACGAGTGTTTGATTAGGTTCGTATTAAGTGATGGAGACGGCCTTTGACCTAGGGACACCATCGTGGATGGGGGCACTGTCATCCTGAAATACACCCCTCCCAGAGGGAAGGAAATGCTGCAATATGGGGAGCAGATGATCACTCAGTACCATGAATTACGCTGGCGTCCTGGCCAAATTTCCCCCTGGCCTTTACCCGTCATGGCCTCCTAATAATGCCCATCTCTGATCTGGCTTCATCACTCTGCTCTCCTCCCCACTGAGAGCTGGTGTGTGGTGAGCGTACTAGCGCACTATGGCTGCCGTCACATCACCATGGGGGCTGCACACTGGTGGTGGTGGACGGGAGACCCCATTACCTGTGAAGCGCTTTGAGAGATGTGTCCAGAAAAGTGATATATAAGTATAAGGAGTTGTTATACTATGATTTAATAGTGAATAGACATAAAATGGCTTTGTAAAGGAATGAGGACAACTAAACCATGCCAGTAAAAAGCACCCCACAACATTACAGAACCACCAGAACACAGCTGAAACCATGCACTCAGGGCGTAGGAAGAGTAGGGGGAGTAGGAAGATAGTAAGTCAGTTACTGTAGGTACTAAGGTGCCAGGCCATGTACAGCCCTATACAGTAGGTGAGCATGAGAATTTTGAAGTTGACATGAAACCTGATAGGAAAACCAGTACAAGGACTCCAGGACAGGAGTAATGTGATCACTTGCATGTGACCTGGTCAGGATTCTGGCTGCTGGATTCTTGAGATACTGAAGTTTGTTTAGTGTGGATTCAGATACCCCAGCAAGTAGGGTGTTGCATTAATCAATTCTGAAAAAGACAAATGTGTTGACCAGTTTTTCAGCTACAGTTAGAGACAACATAGGAAGTAGTCTGGCGATATTTCTGAGATGGAAGAATAATTTACACCACATACACTTAAATATGTGCCTAATGGGATTTTAAGGCATTGTTATTCTGTTTTCAGTGGTTTTTGGCTGTGTCCAAACTGTATTTAGATAATTTAATTTATTTAGATACTTAACTTGGGATACACTCCCTAGTCTATTTTAAAACAACTGCAGTCATTGTTACAATAAATCATGTGGCGTGAACAAAGCAGGTTGTAGGAAACTTATCTTTAGAATTTAGTTTTGTGTCAATTCTGTAATTTATTAAAGAAAACCCCCAACATTGTGATTTGAATGCCTGTACATTCATTTCTCATTTTGTTTTATAGAATGGTCATGAAGATTGGGTCCAATTTGTATTTTTTTAAAGCAGACCAGGGATTGTCAGAATTACAATGTGACTCCATCGGTCGGTGTTGTGCCAGAGCCAGAATGCACTGTGGTTTCTGCACCACAGAAACCAGAAGAAGGAAAATTCTATCCAACCACTCATCTTCTAAAATGCTTTATCCAGTACATGGTCACGGGGAGCCAGAGCCTAACCTGGCAAGCACTGGGC